AGCATCTTGTTCTGTTTCTTTTTTACTAAGAAAGTTGACTTTACCTTTTAAAAATAAACTACATGCTACCCAATTTGTTCTAAAATTGTCAAAGCTGAAAGTCAAGTTACCTATAATTTTTGAAAGGCACATGAGACCTTTAAACAAAACAAGAAATTACTTTAAGCTTATTGATCATCTGCATCACTGTGTCAATGTGATGATAGGAGATTAAGACGCATCAGCCAATTTTTTTTTTTTATTATTTCATTTGTGATTCACATAGATTCAGGCTGTCTCCAGTTCAAAACCTGATTGTGTAGGGACAGTTAGGAACTTTAAAGGCACTTTTTAAAGGAAAAATAATGTTAATAATATTAACAATAATGATAATAATAATAATTATCATCATCATCATCATCATTATATTGATAGTAGTTAGGTTCCTAGGCCAGTTTCAACCTGAAGACAAGGATATTAATGGAACCATTTTTAGCCTTTGTGGGAAAATGCTTTTCCAGAGAAGGATCTGTGAACCTGCACTGAGTGCCAAGGCCACCATGGAGATGTCACCACCTGCCTGAGTCAAGAGGAACAGGAAACCTTGACTTCTGCCACAGTCATGACATAAATATAGCTCCCAATCAGGATTGGCTTCTCTGTATATGCATGATTTCTTCCGTAATCAGTACCCACAGTTGATGAGCCACGAGAAGTAGCCCTTGTATTAGAAGGTGACATGTCTGACAGCATGCCACAGCCAAGTGAGGACTACACCCACCATGTGACAATAGATCACTCTTCCTGTTCCCTTAGGAGAGTGACCTTCCTCTCCCCAGGTAACTTGGCAGGGCGGCCATCCCTTCTGCACTGATTGCCCTCATGGTCTGTCCTGATGTCATCATCCGTGGTCACTGTTGTAGGCCTCTGTAACTGTCTGTCTTTCTTCCTTTCAGCTTTTCTGTGGTTTTCTTAGGAGTTACAAACCTTACTGTGACAACTGGGAGAGTGGCAGCTAATCACAAAGCAACATATCCTGAATTCACTGCAACTTCTCTGTGTGGAATTGGGAAGTGTGGCTTGCCCTCCCCCTGGTGACTGTGTCATATGCGGCTTTCACCCAGCATAGTCACGATCTAGAGAACTGGATATGATCCACAGGCACACACAGAGGGGGCAGTGCCATCACGCATGCTATGTCCCAAGTATAAGACTTAAAAATCTAGTTAAAGAGCAAGGAGATCACTTTTCTGGCCATGATGACAAAATCCACTGAATACCACCACCCATGGGACAAAGGGAAGACCCGAGAACAGTGTGGGGGGGAGAAATGACCAAGGCTTTTTGTCTGTTTGGGGAGTATTGGGTTGGGCTGTGTAAAAGGAGTTTGATTAAATATATTCCCATGGACCTATTCTAAGCTGCCTGGATGGCCTTGGTCTTCCCATTGCAGCCCAAGCCAAAGCCCACAGCTGTCTCCCAAGGACTGCTCCCTGGCACCTCACACCTAAAAGCACCTTACCAAGTAGAGGGATCAAGCAGTGGAGAAGCATCTGGACATTAGAGAAATAGAAAGGGCCTTGGACCAATTTGGGGCCCTGTCACTTTGGTCAAAGCATCATGTGTGCACTGGCAACTTTTCGCTAATTGGCTCAGGTCTTAGTAATGCTATCCTTTGTGAAGAATTTGATGGGCCTCGTTTCGCTTCTCCCCTGTCCCTACCCTGCCTTGCTTAGGAGGGCCTTATACACTGGATCATCTATATGGGCTTGAACACAGAGGGTATTTGCATATGGTCAGCTGTCTGATTTTTCTTAATTAAAATGTTATCTCTCTCCATTCACAGCTTCGCCAGCAAGACACACAACATCAGTATCCCCCTCACCTGCTGGGCGGTCTCCATTGAAGGTACAGACCCTTCTTTAGACTGAGGCTAGAGACTAGCCCAGGTTCCTTTATGCTGTAAGACTCATCCCAGACAATTGAAAGGTGTTTTCATTTGCACAGACAAGGATATACAAATAAGAGGTAGGGGAAGGATGGGTAAGAAAAACTCTGGATTTTCCCCTTGGGGAGCCTTCTCCATGAATGCACCTATTTGTTTTTGGATTATTAGCCTCACTCCCCAAATAGTAGCAATGAGAACTTAAAAACTATAGTCAGTATGTATAAGGAATTAGGAAAGAAATATGATCCCAATGAATTTTTAGGAACATTTTCTGCCTATTCTGTTGCTTTAAGGTACTTTGCACAACACACACACACACACACACACACACACACACACCACGCTTGAAAAACATCAGTAACAAAGATCTCCTAAATATTCTACTGTGGGTGTTTTGCCTTTATCATCAGCCTCACCTGTTTTGACAAAGTGAAGTTCAACTCTCTTTTTAATATTTTATACCAAGATTGTCATTCACATTAGAATTACATATTTAGTCATGAAAAACAAAATGATAAAGTGGATAAAAAATTTCTGGAAACAAACTGAGAAAGGTTTAAAGGTCAGAGTTTTAAATTGGTGTGTAGATACAGGCTGCTGAACATCTCTAAACATACAAATCCCTCATGAAGATAAAGAATAATATTTAGTCTCTATCCAAATTGAATCAGACTGGCTGCAAGTCTTGTTAGTACATATGAGAGGTTGGTGTTCAGAGCTGCAGCACCAGAAACAAATAAAAGGTTGAAGTAAGTGTTGAAAGGACGATTTTGTACCTGAGCGACTTAGGATTTGCACGCTCCATGTCCTTCTTGTTGATGAGATGGTTCTAGCTAATGTGAAAAAGACAAATTAGCCTCTACAAACACATAGGGGCATGTTGTGATCCCAGGCATCTGTGCTGCGAGGAGAGTTGCTGATATAGAAATGGAGATTCTGGAAATCAAAACAAAAAGAAAAGGAGAAAAATCACAAAGAAGTGTGATTTCATTTGTGTTGCCCAGAATTTCTGACACATAAATTTGCTTATCAGTGGAAATTGTTTGCTAGTTTTATTGTCTTTCTGCAATGCAGTGTTATCATAGAGTACACAGACAGCATTTGCTTTGGAAGCCATTGCCTGTCATCCTGATGTGAGGAAAGGAAAGCAACATGCTTTTCCACATTTTTACATGTACTTACTGGCAAAGAGCTCCACATGTTGCTGTGAAATTATCATATGTGTTTTTCAACTTGATTTTGCAGAGTAGTAATAAGATAATAAGTAGTCTAAGGAATTAATTCCTAAAAAATAAAAAGAATCCAAGGCCTGAAAATGTTCAAGTAGCTATCAAACAGTTCTAGTTAGCAAACTGATATATGTTCTCTACAGACCTGCATATATTTTTACTGGCCATGGATAATCTTGAAGCCATGCCTTTGTAAATGGGGCTTGAAAGAGGAGAAAATAGATTGAACATTTGTGTTGTAACACCTTGATTACATTAGAGGGCACACTGCTACCAAGTTGTTAAATTTAATATGATTAGAATGCATTGTGCTGCCCCAAGTGGTAGAATTCGATTTTTTTTTCAACAGTTAAACAATGGAGTTAAGCTTTTAGAGGAGACTTAACTTACCTGCCTTCTTTTGAATTTGAGATCTAATTTTTGACAAAGACAACAGTGAATGTGGATTTAATTAGTGATGCTTTATTTTACTATCTATTAAAGGAAATGATTGGTGTTTACCAGCATTATTTTATTGATAAAGAGAGACCAAGGTAAAGTTGGGCCAGCGTAGCATTTCTCAAAGTATGTTCCATAGAATATAGGACCTGTGTTATTAATGGAAAATTGTTCTATGGTCAGATAAAATTAGAAAACACTGGGCTAAACAAGAGTTATTCAGGTCTCTTTATTATAAGACTTTGAATGTTAATATGATTTCAAGGTACATAGGAACATTTCCCAGTGGAACTCTTCTTGGAATATATCTTAGGATTTGCTGTCCTTAGATTACCACCTGGGGGAGCAACAGATTCAGATGCCAAATTGACCAGACTGCTGACAGAAATGAGTTAAGAAGGCTGTGTAGAAAGCCATGTGGAGGAGTGAGGATTGTGATGAATTGAAGCATTCATGCCATTGTTGCAGAACTTCCAGTTTTTTAATATAATATCAGAAACCTAGGATTTTGTGTGAAATTTTCCTATTTTAAAAAATCAGTAAATTAGCAACTAATAATCTAAAATTAAAAATTTAACATTAAAAAATTAAATTTGTTTTAAAAAAAAGTAGCAGATGGAACTTCTCACAGCTTAGGCTGGAATCTGAGGGCTCAGTTTACAGCTTCATCTCAGGAGTCTGAGCAAAGTCAGAAGAATCAAGTGCAAGGCCTCTTGACTAGTGGGAAGTGCCCTACCTACATGTCCTCAAGCTGCCCCTGTGTCCTGCACTTGTGAACTCCTGGCCTGCTGAGCTAGAAAAGCAAAATGGAGTCCCCAAGGCTGCTTTCACCAGTTGCCTTTCTTTCAAGCTGGATATAGGACAGTGGTTTGCCAACAAATTCCCTGGCTGGTATCTTTCATCCTCTGTTTGAAAATGATAAGAAGTCAAGCCGGCATTGAGGTGAACTGGATGCATGAGAGGCTGGCAGATAAGTGTCAGATGTGTAATTTTCAGCGCTGTGCTTGACCACCGCTCATGTTTGAGTCTGGGTATTTGCATTAGTCAGCTTGGGTTCTCATAACAAAACACTATAGTGTGGGGCTTAAACGGCAGAACAGTTCTGACAGCTAGAAGCCCAAGATTAAGGTCTTAAAAGTCTTGATGTCTCCTAAGAACTCTGGCTTGAGATGGGCAGCTGGCTCTTAACATCTTCATATAATCTTTTTTTTTTTCTGAATACCAGCATTGCTCTTTGATACCGAAATTCCTCTTTTTATAACAGAAAGTAGTCAGATTGCATCAGGGTGGGTTTAACTTGGTCCCTTCCTTGAAGTTGGCTGCAAAGACAGCCACCTGCTGCGGTTCTGGAAGCCAGGGCTTCCAAGCGTGGACTTGTATGTGGGTGGTGGGATGTTCAACCCACCAGTGTCCCTGACTCTGCCGTCTCCCCTCTTTCTTTTCCGTCTCCCCCTCTCCTTGCCTGGGGAGCAGGGCTCTGTGCAGTCTTTCACCCCATCTCCGGTGGAGTACCACTCCCCAGGACTGATCTCCAACTCCCCGGTCTTGTCGGGCAGCTACAGCAGCGGGATCTCCTCTCTCAGCCGGTGTAGCACGTCGGAAACCTCAGGCTTTGAAAATCAGGTGAACGAACAGGCGGCCCCGGTGTCGGTGTCCAGCTACGCGGGGCCTGGACCCGAGGAGCCCGTGCGCAAAGAGAGCAAAACCCCACCTCCGTACAGCGTGTATGAGCGGACTCTGCGGCGCCCGGTCCCGCTACCTCACAGCCTCTCCATTCCCGTCACTTCTGAGCCGCCGGCCTTGCCCCCCAAGCCGCTGACAGCGCGCACCAGCCACCTGGAGAACGGGACCAGGAGGACCGAGCCCGGCCCGAGGCCCAGGCCCCTGCCCCGGAAGGTTTCTCAGCTCTAAGTCACTTTTCCATGTACCTGCGATGAATACCTGGCCGTTTACAAAATAAGACGTATGATGAGAAGACATTTAGTGTAGGCACTTTAATAACTTACTCAGATCTTTCTTTACATGAGTGAAATTAAAACTTGCTTATTAATATAATGTTGCACAATATTAAAAGTTACTGATCTAAAGCCCAGATGTTACATGAAGTAATGGCTGAATCTCTCTGGAACGTTTCTCCTAGTGGTAAATAGTGATAAAGACTCTTTTTGTATCTTTTTATGTTCGCTTTTTTTTATATATATATAGTTTAATCTTAAAACCAATACAATATTGTCAAACAGTACAATGTGTGATAATGTTGTATACTTTTTACTGAATACTTGATACTCCGAGAAAGCTTATTACCGTCAATGCACATCCTCACACAATGGTCCTTACTTTAGAAGACTTCTGTAAATAAGGTGAGGTTTCTGGCTCTTTCCCTGAGCAGAATGTTCAGTGCACACCCTTGAATTGAAAGATTAAAGCTAGTTAGACAATATATTAAGGGGTTGCAAGGATTGGGACTAGAAGTCATTTTGTTCTTGAAACAAAATGTTTCTTTAAGGTTGTTTTTGATGTTTGACAGCTGTCTGCATTCTTAAAACTCCACCTTGTGAATCAGTTGCTAAATCCTTTAGTATCCTGACACCATGTTATCTACTGTATTTCTTTTCAAGGTGCAATTTGCTTTCAGAGTTCCAATCAGCTAGATTAAGCAAAAGACCCCAAGAGAAGTGTTTACTTGAATTTTGTGCTTCCTTACTTGATAGTGTCCCATTTAAAATGTTTCATTGCAGAAGAGCAAGTGTTCAAGTATTAATAGGCACAAATTACTGTGTCCCATTAACAAGAATTCAGGAATCAATATAGGACAGTATTAAATCAATAGCGTAAATGAAGAAAAACACCTTTGTGAAAATATATGAGCATGATTAAATGGCAAAAGGACTTTCAAAAGGCAAGGGCATTAACTTTCAATCCTGCATAAAATTAAAAATTCCTCACAACTCTCTCTTCATACCAGTGAAGCTTGTCTTCTAAGCTGATCCTGTGGTCCTTTTGTTAGAGGAGGATGATTATAGAATGTTCTAGCTTGAATATTGCAACATAGCATCTTAGATCTAGATAGATAAGCTGATGCCGCTGTTGTAGGAGTGTGGAAAATGCACCTTGTATGTAGTAATGTATTTTGTATCTTTGTTTTTTTTTCTTTTACTGACTGTTTATAACACTCAATTGACAATAGATATAAACTGTATTTTAAATCATACTGTTAAATATTTTCCCTCTTTTGTTGGGAAGCTCATTTTAGTTTAACCCTATTTGTTTTTGTTGATAGCTTACCTGGAAGGCAGTGACCACTTTTTTATATTCTCTTAATGAAACCATTCAGCAGGTATATGCTGTTGAGGCTGGTTATAGAGGTTTTCTATCATAAATGTTCAAGTATTTTTGTACATAACTGGTTAATTTTAATAAGAGATACCATTATGTGTAAAAAAAAGGTAAAAATAAAAGCAAACAGTTGTGGATACAGTATGATTGTTATAATTATGCCAAATACTTTATGTATGGAAAAAGAATATTTGTACATATGTGCTTTTAACAATAATTCTGCCATATTGACTTTACAATTTTGAATGTCAGAAAAATTAATATATGTTAAAATATTTATGTTTAGTGAAAGTATTCATAATTGAGGAAAGGAACAATTTTAGCTTTGTATCTTGCAAGTTTTGCAATTGGAAATTTCTTGAACTAGCTTTCGCTTTTGATGATAACACTTTGTGTTTGTAATCACATCCATATATTTATATATATGTGTGTGTGTATATATATGTACATACATATATATAAATGTAGGAAGCTCCATATTTCTATTGCTTTAAGAAGTAAAACCTTCCACTTAAATAAGATGACATGCATAAGATAACAAAGCTTCTTTGATTTCCTTTTCCTGTGTAATTTGATAGATTTCTTGACTAGTGCTTGGGCACAGAATAAATCAGTGTTATTTGCTCTTGAAGCCACTTTTTTTAAGAAAAAAAAAATTTTGGCAGTGAACAGTTGAATTTATCATGTGCGTGTATTTCTAAAGCAGCTATATAGCAGAACATTTCAAGAGATTCCCTTAGCTCAGATGTTCATATTGGTTGCTGCTGGATGGTAAATATTAAATAAAGCTACCAGATTAATCTTCATATTACTGTCTTTATTCCTATCATCAGTTCGTCTTTACCAAGAATAGCAGCTATGTATTATTGGGCTCCGGTTAATGCACTTCTATTCTTTATGGCTCATTTATGCCATGAAGAACAAAGGGTGAAAAGAATCAGTGTGGGTCACTGTCCCGTAGAGAAGGTTACATTTTTCTGGGTGGCTGAACATTAACTGGCCTAACTAAGCCAATTTAACCAGTCAAGCCATCAGAGTTTCTTTGCATTAGAAAACTTGACACAACACAGGTAGAACTGGGCAAGGGAATGACCTAGTGCTGCCTTTGCCAGCTGTGACATGCTCTATTTGCATGCCTGCTTTTATTCCCTCTTTTTTATAAAATGTTATAGAATGTATTTGACAGTCACTAAATCCAATGACTACAAGTTTTCTGTTAATAAAGACTGGCTTTTAATTTTGTGAGTTGTGTCTGTGCTGTGTTAGGTTTATGACATTCATGTAACTCAATGCTAAGCAAAGCACTGTCTAAAGCTTTTGTCCCATTAAATACCAAAACCCAGTTAAAGGCCATTGTCAACATCTTCCTGATTGTTTCTCAGCATTAACTAAATGACTTAAGCGTTTCTGGAGTATTTTCATTATAACTGAGCCCATAAGTATTTCAAGTCTACAAGCATAATTACGATATGAATAGGTCAGTTTCCCACCTAAGAAGGTTTCTGTGTGCATTGTGATTGTTCTACAAAAGACAACAAAAGAATAGCAAATCACATAATCTTGCCTTTATTTGCTCTTTACACTTTAAAAGCTGGCTTTTACTAAAACGAATTCTCATTTAATGATTGAATTATGTCTTGCCACCAATATATAAGGAAACCAGAAAAGGTTTGAAGATTTGACTATCAATCTCAACATGGCTGTTATTTTTTACATATCCCTTTTGTCTTTTTCTGCATTGTTGAGTTCCTGTTCCCCAAATATCACCAACAATGTTGATGATACAGGGCTGTGTCCATGGCTCAGCACATGAGAGAGCCCTGTCCTCACAGAGCTTTGGCCCTGTCTCAAAGACAAGATCAGATTTTATAGAAATTTTGGAGTTTTGTCTACAGTGGGTCTTTCTTTGAGCAGGCTTTGATTAAGATTAAAGGTCAAGGTGCACTTGTGTAGGATGGGTGGAGACAGCAAGGCAGGAATTTTGAGTCAAGGTATGCAAAGAACCTTGGGACATAAACCATCCTTTGGTGCTTTCTATTAAAGAGTTGATGGGTCCCTTGAGAAGTTCCTATTCTGAATAGTCATTATTCACCTGAACAAGAGATTTCCTGGAAGAATAGAATAATGCTAATAAACAATGGAATAAGTACATTAGATTGCTGAATTTGTAATTGTGAAAGGTCTGCTACCTGATAAAGCCAGTAACTCAAGAGACAGATTTATGGGAGAAGAAAGATCGTAAGTGACAACAAGATGGCAGGTGGAAGACGGAGGACTTTCTCCCAAATATCATTGTGCCAGGGTTACAGCCACAAAAGCACATATGGGTTTTATGGGGAGTTTGATTTTAGTCACAGCCAGGTGGGCACTGGAATGGTGATTCATGCTTGCAATAATTAATTCTTTTGACATGGTTTAAGTATTGCTCACAGGTCACCAGGCATTCCAGACATACCTGTCAACCTAAAGAAAGATTACTGGGCTGGGATTGTAACTCAGTGGTAGAGTACTTGCCTAGCATGTTTGAAGCCCTGGGTTTGGTTCTCAGCACTGCATATGAATAACTAAAATAAAGGTCCATAAACAACTAAAAAAAAATTTTTAAAAGAAAGTAAGTCACTGACAGAGAGTCCTATGGCTGGTGATGTTCTCTGATGTTTTCACTTATTCAAGCAGGGCTGACTTCATTGGTTATTCTTTTGGAGAATGATACAGGGGAGAGAGGTCAAACTAACAGTGAAAAACAGACTTGCTAGAGCCAGGAGCAATTTAACCCATTCATGGGCTTCAGTTTCATTTCTCAACATGTATGTTTTACATAGTTGTAATCACAGTGAATCTAGAAAGACTGCCTTATTTTTTTTGCTTAAAGTTATAGCAATTATTTTCATATTATCACATGCATATAAAGATTATTCCACAATTTAATGATTTCTTTGTTAATGAACATTCTATGATGCCTAATACTATAGTACTACAAATGACACCAGTGAGACCTTCTCATTGCATACAGCTTTTTCAATGTTTTGCATTATTTCCTTAAAATGGATTTCAGACTGAATTGTAAAAAATAAACCAAATACATAAGAATTATGTTAAGCCAGGTGCAGTGGTGCACCCAGTGGCTTGAGAGGATCGAGAGTTCAAAGCCAGCCAGCAACAACAAGGCGCTAAGCAACTCAGTGAGACCCTGTCTCTAAATAAAATACAAAATAGGGCTGGGGATGTGGTTCAATGGGAGAGTGCCCCTGAGTTCAATCCCTAGTACCCCCCAAAAAATATGGTAAAATATGTTTTGTTTAAAGAATGATGGCTTTGTAGTTCTCGTTCTCTTGTATAAGAGAAAAAAAAAATCATTTTCCTTGTATCTTTCCAGTTCCTAGCAGGCCTACCATAACAAAAGGTAGGCTAACAAGGAAAACAAACAGAAGTCTTTTAACGTGTACCTTATGTACCTGTGGGAGATGTCCAGAGAAAAATAAGCAACCCTCAAAGAAGTGGTTTAGAATTCAGGCTTAAGTACCACCTTCAACTAAAAACAAAGAAAAAGGGGTTGAGAAAGGAGGCTAGCTATCAGGAGGTGACCAGAAAAAGCAGAAAAAATGAGAGTAAAATTTAATGTGTCTGTTTTAGTTCCAACCTTCTCAATTGATAAGAATCTCTTGTGATTCAGCCATCTTTGTCTTCCTGGCACAGTGAGGGAGACCCCCTTACAAATGGAGATTTCCCTCATTGATGTGAATTTCTCGTACTAAAGGGTATCTTCTATTTCCAGAACATCTCCCATGTCTGATGTTTCTCAAAATAATCAGCTCAAAATAATCTTTATGTCAGAGAGGCATTTTGTAGGGTGGGATATTTTGGTCTACAGTCATATCTTGGGGTGGCATATTCTGGTCTTCTATACATAAATACAGGTTATTTCTGAAAAGGGTTGCACCCATTTGGGGGGCACTAGCAACATAGTTTTGTGGCAATTTTTTCAAGATTGGCTATCATGATATTACTTTCTTCCCCCCCACCCAATTTAATATATAGAAAGAAACTTGCTGCTGTACCTAAACTTTGAGAACATGTTAATAAAGCAATTAAGTATTTTACAGAATCCTGGGCTAAAGAATTGGTACCCTGATAAAGTAAATAAAAGGGAGAGGTGAAAAGCAATAGTCAGCCATGCACAGTGATGCGTACCTATAATCCTAGCTACTCCAGAGGCTGAAGCAGGAAGATCTCAAGTTAAAAACCAACCTGGGTAACTTTTTTTTTTTTTTTTTTTTTTGGTACCAGAGATTGAACCCAGAGGCTCTTAACCACTGAGCCACATCCTTCGCCCTTTTAAAATATTTTACTTTGAGACAGTTCTTGCTACATTGCTTAGGGCCTTGCTGAATTGCTAAGGTAGGCTTTCAACATAGGATCCTCCTGCCTTAGCCTCCCAAATTACTGGGCTTATAGGCACATGCCACCATGCCTGGCCCAAACTGGGTAACACAGTGAGACGCTGTCTTCAATTGTTTTTTCTTTCTTTTCTTTTTTTTTTTTTTTTTTAAGCACATGGTATAGCACTTGCCTAAAATGTGCAAGTCCTGAGTTGAATCCCCTGTGGGAGCCAGGGACCAGGGTGGAGAAAGGCCCCTTCTGAAAATACTTCATCTCAGAGAAGAGATTGCTAGAAAAACATTTGAGGTATTTGGGGTATAGCCCTGTGGTGGAGCACTTGCCCAGCAAATGCAAGCTTCCAGATTCAAAAACAAAAACCATTTAAGATCCACTGTCATTCCTGAGCATTTTGGACAGATGTACAACCTAATTTATCCAGAATTGACATTGAGATTCATAACTAGAGAGGGAGCCAGACACCTATAAGTAAGGATAATGATCTGAACAGTCAGAAAGTACAACTTTCTGCTCACCAAGTGAACTGTCTCCAAGGAGGGTAAATTATACAAGTGAAGAAGGCAGTTAACCCCAAAGAGAAAAAAAAAATTTTATATGAGAAAGTAAATGTAACTGTAGTATACTATGTGAATGAGAAGCATATGATATTGACGTGGAAATGTTGATCTTGCCCCAAATTATTATATAATTTTATTGGAAAGATGAGAGGAAGGAATGAATTTGTGTATATGGAAAATAAAATAAATTATCTTCCATTAAAGGATGTCAGTAGATAATGCCTACAACTTAACTAAAAGTAGTAATATGAGATACTTTTTATTTACAGATATAAAGAACAAACATTAAAAAATAACTTTAAAAATTGGGCAGGGGATGTACTTCATTGGTAGAGATTTGTCTAGCATGTGCAAGGCCATGGATTTGATCCCCAGCATTGCAAAAAAAATTAAAAATTGAAAATAATTATATTTGGTAAATGAAAATGGCAGAGAGTAGGGATGTTGAGGGGCCTCCTGTTTTTCTTAATGGCTTTATGGAAATAAATGCATGTACAAGTATAACACATTTTAAGAGATTGAAGCAAAAAATATATAGCATTCAGATATCACTTTACTGGTTTTACTTCTCTTATTTATTTTTTTCTCCTCTATGTGACAGAGTAAATCTAGATCTGGGCCTCTTTGAGAAGCACATACAGACTTTGAAACCAGTGTCTACTGAAAAGAATGTGTATGTGGCAAGTTGGAGGAATAAAGGTGGAGGACTTTCTGCACCCATGTGAGACCTCTCCTGGAGCAAAAATGATTGGCAGTGAGACCAGCAGTCAGTTTCAATCCCATTAGGTTTGTTCTTTAGTAGCAACACTAAGCAACCAATAGAAACAACTTTTAGAGAGTTCTAGAAGGACTCTGCAGGTATTACCAGTTTACAAGTTCCTTTTGTGTCAATATTTCTCACTATGATGAAAGCACATTCAGGTCTTAGTGTGATTACTCCAGAACAATTTTTAACAGTGCCAGGTTATTTCCCTCCAAGAGAGGAAAAATGTAACAAATGTATGGTGAGTGCTACTAGGGCTCAAGTCTCTCATAAAGAAATTTGGGGGCTGGGGTTGTAGCTCAGTGGTAGAGTATTTGCCTTGCATGTGGAAGGTACTGGGTTTGATCCTCAGCACACATAAAAATAAAATAAAGGTATTATGTCCATCTACAACTAAAAACATATTTTTAAAGAAAAGAAATTTGGAATGACCCAGCACACTTTTTCCACCCCTCACTTTCTGTAGGGGACACTACCTTCATCTCCTGCCTCATCACGCAAACTTACCCAACTCCTTCT